TGACCTGGAATGCCCTTCCATGTAACAGACCAGGAGGCAAGGCATGAGGGTGACTTGGTCTAGGAGGCTGGCAGCTGAGATGGAGAGAAGTAGGTAGATTCAGCATGTGGCTTGAAGATAGGGCTTGCTTGTCAGTTGGATGTGTAGGATAAGGGAAAGGGAGGAACCAGAAATGACTTCTAGATTTTTAAGTTGGGCATCTTTGGGAATAATGATGCCATTTGCTAAAATGGGGTTAACCTGGGAAGAAATAGATTGGGAGGTATGTCAATTAATCATTAAATTTGAGATCTAATAATAAACAAGTGGATAGATGATAATAAGTGAGTTCTATAAATAGTGATAGTTCTACTACTAGACGTAGTAGACAAACTCAGGCTAGGTCAGGACTAGTAAAGTCAGGAGTCGTCACCATGTGAATGGTATTTAAAGCTATAGGACTGGATGAGACACCAGGGGAAAGAAGGGCCCAGAGTGAAGCCCTGAGGCTCTTTGACATCTAGAAGTGGAGCGCGGAGGAGAACCCAGCAGAGACGGAGAAGTAGCCAGAGAGGGGAAGCAACCCAGGGAGGGTAATGTCCTGGAACCTAAGAGAAGACATAGTTTCAAGAAGGATGTGGCTGTGTTGAATGCAGCTGAGAGGTCACATGAGATGAGAACAGAGAAATGACTACTGGGTTTGCTAATATCAAAAGTCAACTGGTGGCCTTGACAAGGGCAGTTTCTGTGGCATAGTTAGGATGGAAGCCGGCATGGATTGGGTTAAGAGAAAATCTGAAATGGGAATTGGAGACAGTGACAACCCTTTCCAGAAGTTTCTCTGTAACAGGAGCAGAGAAATGGGCCAGTAGGTGGAGGGGGGTGTGGATCAAGGAAAAGTTCAATCCTTTTAGTGATAAGGAATACTACATGAATCCTAGCTAATATTTATTGAGCATTCAATCTTATCTAATCTTCACAACAGTCCTCAAAGGAAGATATCCTGATCCTTTTATAGATGGAGGTTACTTAACTTGTCTGAGGTCATGATGATACCAAGTGGTGGAGCTGGGATTTGGACCCAGCCGGAGTGTGCTGTGCACTGGACATGGTCCGTGTGAGCAAACATGGTCAGAAATGGAGTCAGAGAGGAGGCTGAGAAGACTCTCAGTGAGAAGTGGCAGGGGCCAGAGTAGAAGGGAGATGGGGCAGAGCTGTTTAAGTGGCAGAGTTGCTAGGAACTGGTGATGATGGGGGAATAAAGTTGGTGAAGGAGAAGGAGACATGGTACCTGGTGGGAGGTAGAACCATGAGCCAAATGTGGAATACAGACAGTAAAGCAAGTTGGGG